TCTCGAAAAGGCATCGAATCGAGCAAGGAATTGCCCTTCGAACGAGGAATCCACTGGTACCCTTGTGCGCGTGATTCGACAGTAGTATAGTAGCCCCATGGTTGCACGCCGCCATTTCGGCTCCTCTCCGTCGCGGGAGGTTAACTTCTCCGGGTAATGTACAGTGACCTAACCCAAGCAACCAGTCTCAAATCCTCGATGAAGTTGAGAGCCCGTGCAGTGCTGCAGGGTGCTGCACCGCGACCTGCGCATCCGCATCTGCCGTCGGAGAGGCGCGGCACCGCGCGGCACGCCTCGAAGCACTCCACTGCCGGCAACTTTGCGGGAATGAGAACTGAATTCGGAATGAAGCGGCCCTTGCCACACTACGCGCCGCCCCGCCCCGGCCCGCTCTGCTTCGAACTACCGCTGTAATTATCAATACTAGTTTGCATCTCGGAGTGGCGGGGTGGCTGCGGCGCGTGGCGCGCACGTGTGCGCCGACTGAGGGAGTTTCCATTCCCTTTTCTGCCTCTTTTTTTCCCGCTTCCCTTCCTCGGCCCTTCCTAGGCCCTGCCGGCCCTGCCTCCGCGCGGCCCGCCCCCAGCCCTTAACCCTTCGCCTGCCTCGCCTGCTTCGCCCACGGATCCACATTTACATTCCCTTATCTGGCTCTTATCCCTTTCTGCTGTTACGTGGCCGCCTGGCCGCCTGGCCCTGGCCGCCCCACCCCTTTTCTGTAAAGCAGGGGCCGCGGGAAGGGAAGGGCCCGGCCTGAGCCTGGCCGAAACAATGAAAGGCGGCTCCCTCTACGCCATTTAATTTTCTTCCGAAATCGCTAGATAAAACGTGGAGGGCGGGACCGTACGCTCCATTAATGCGAATTTGGTCGAAATCTCTTTCCACTAGTGTGCCGGTCCGCCGTCCCGCTGCCGAGCCCCGCTGCTCCTATGACGCTCGCCGAAGACGTCGTTACCGTAGCCAGCCGGCTTGCCTGCCGCCGTGCCGCCGCGCAGCGGGCCAAAACGCCAAAACTTCCAAACGGATATCCACTTACCAATTCCCGGCAACGAATGATTAGCAATCTAGCAATCCTCGCAGTGGAGCGAGCAGCAGCGGGTCTACTGCGGACTGCTCAGCCATGGCTCAGCACTGCTCAGGGCCGGCCGGACTGGCGCTCCAAGAAGTCGGGCCCGACTGATCCAGAACCGCCACTCAATCACACCCGCTGTGCGGTTTGCCTCCGGCGTAGTCCTGCACAGTGGCCGGGGCCGCCGGGGCCGCTAGGGCCTCGGCCACGGCGCCAATCATTCCGGCCGGCCTCGGCTGCCTCGGCCCCGGACCCTCGGCCTCGCCACGGCTTGCCCTTGGCGTCCGTCCGCCCGAGGAAGCAGCCCGTCAGCCCGGCGGGTAGGCAACCCCTCCGGCTCCAGACACGCCTGCTTGGCGGCGCTGCCTACCCGCCGGGCTGACGGACGCTAGCAACCATTTGCTAGTGCCGCGACACACCTACGCCTCTTTCCTCATTCTGCACAACTTTGTGGCGTTGGCGTGGCGGGTACTGCGTCACCAGCGTCAGCCGTCACCCTGCCTCAACCCTCCCAGCCTCCTCAGGTACCCGGAGAGCCGTCTGAGGCTCTCTCTCGTTCGGTCCCGGTTGGATCGCCTGCCTTCCCGGCCCAGCCCCGCCCCGCCCAGCCCCGCCCCCGGGGAACATTTAGAATGCAGCATCTGCATCCGATGCCCCGCCGCGGTGAAGCGGTGTGGGAATCTGGGATCCTGGGAATAGACAGCGCCGAGGTGTGAGGAGGGGGCCGCTGAGCGCAGAGATGACGAACGAAAAAGAATAAAAAGAATAAAAAAAGGAACAAAAAAGAAAGAAGAAAAAAAAATCCCCGCCAAGAAAAATGGACATCATTGTCTTGTCTCTGGCTTGGGGAGAGTCTTTTTATGAATGCACTGCCTTCCTTTATTCTCAGCTGATAACACAATGACTGGGTGCTCCTTCTTCTTACCGAAGCGCACACCGCTCCCCTGATCTTAGCGCAGCGTCCCCTAAAATGCTATCTCTTTTTTCTCGACGGGCCCTCACTACTGCACGTCTCCGCGCCTCCCCGCCCCGCCGGTACTTTGTTCCCGGCCTACTACTGCTCTCCGTGTCCCCACACTGCTTCCCAAGTCAGCCTGCGCTGCGGTCCCGCTCGTGTGTACACACGCGTGCAGGAGAGATAAGTTGCGACTCCACACTCGACTTGGCTCCTCCTCCGCCTTCTCACAAACAAATGAGCCCGCGCGATTATTAGAAGGCGCGGCGTTTGCGCGACTGTACTGACTGCACACGCACCGCCTTGCCTTCGTTTGGCCGGGCGACAGTGAAAAATGCGCCTTGCTGCCGCCGCGCTCAGACCGCTCGCTCAGACAGGCGGCAGAAGAGCAATTCCCGTAATGCGCTCAGCAACAGCGCCGAATAAGTGTGGAAGAGTGGGGGAGAGTGCGAAGGGGGTGCTAGGTGCGAGAGAGACAGCCTCGGGTGATGGCTGCCCAGGAAATGAGGATCCGGCTTGATGAGCGGTGGGTGACTGTACGGCGACGCTAAGTACGCCGTCCGTCTGTCTGTCGGCGCGAATCCGCTCGCGCGGCGTGCAGTGTTTGGAGAAGGCTTCCTCGGGGATCACGACCGCTTGGCGCGCATGCCGCGCTTGGCGCGTTCGCGGCGCCGAAACGAGGAAACGCGGAGACGACACAGCGTACGCGATTCGTCGGCTGCGAGACGCGAAACCCCGCCACTTTGGGCGCGGAATTTAAAGTTGCGAGTTTGCCGGGCGGCACAGCCACGGCACTGCCAACGGCGCAGCCAACGGCGCAGCGACGCAGGCTCGGCGCTCTAATACTCGCGGGTAGGGAGCTACTTAGCGCCGAAGGCTCTCAAGTCCCTCACGCGGACAAGGAAGTTTCGTTTCGACGCGCGACTGCCGACTCGGCTGTCGCTTAGACGCATGCCGGCTTTGCATGTGAGTGTTCAGTGCTAATGGTGCACATTCAAGGACTCTGCCTGCCCCAGAGATATTTTCCAAAACAAGCGAGTCCAACCCTGTTTGTCCGTTTGTCCCCCTTGTGAAGCGGTGTAGAGTGGCTAGGGGTAGGGATGAAATTGAAAATGAAATTGACGAACGCGTGGCACATTTTGTTCACAATCATTTTATTCTATAATTTCTTTATACATTCGTAGTAGTAAAGGCTGTCTTTTTCCCACAGTGCTGCGCTGTCGCCTTGGCCCCTCCGAGGGCGCTCCCTGCCCGGCCTGCCCGGCCTGCCCTCCGCTCCTCCTCCAGGCCGAGAGGCGCCGAGAGGGAAGTCGACTCCGAATTAGAGGCCGTCCCGCTGATTGCTTTATTGATTGCACCCGGCATGCACGTTACAGCGCGGACAGCACACTGACTCCGAGAGTCGTTTTCGTCGCTCTGTCTCTCTCGCACCCGTGGGACATACCGTGTAGGTGCGAGAGAGACAGAGCGACCAGACCGAATGTCGGAATCAGTCTACTGGCTATTGTCTGGCACATAGAAACAAGCAGCACGACGATCTGGCCGATTTAGAATATGGAAAACAGAAAACGGATGTGGTGGTCGAGACTCCTCTACGCATCTGTGGGAGATCCACGACAACAGAGGAACAACTAGCACCACCACATCTTTAGTCTACTGAGCGAAATAGTTTTAGTCCCTCCGACTTAAATCTGATAGTCAAAAAGAAGATTGAAAACGAAAAATGTGGCAGTGCCGAGGGCAGTGCCCATGACATTTATTTAAATAAGAGTCCCAGATATAAGCGCATGGAGTCCAGAACCCATAATCTTTTATCCAGGGCTTTATTTTCCGCAAGTCATTAATTTGTTCACCACTTCACTGTCAAACCATAGCTCTCGCGTTATACACTCATGAAATTAGACGATTTAAAAAATAAATAAATGACAATGTTACAGCTCTACCTATTCGCTGTGGTAACAAAACATGTTGCTTTTATTTTGGTGAGCAATCGATGCCTCATATAACATCCCATAAAACAATACTCCTCTTTTCTATTTTTTTTTCAAATTCACGTTTACAAGTTTTTTTTTCACATCAAAAAAATAAAATTTACCAAGGCAACTTTTTTTTCTGTTCGTTTTACATGGCGCGTTTTAGACGCAAAGTCATATCCATATTGTACCTTTCGCATCACATCACAGTCACTTGGAGCAAACTACTAGCCGGCTCCTGCATTCGCGGGTTGCGGGTCGCCTCGCCTCGCCCGTCCGTTCGTCCGGTCCGGGGCACCTCAATTTCCCGGCAAGTGGCCGTGGGAGCGGCCGCAGCGCTCAACATGTCGCTCCGAACGACGAGACGGAATGAGCCACACCGAGGAACTGTCCCAACGGTTTAGCGAACACTGAACTAGCTTTTCCTAAACATTGAGCACCGGGTCTGGCGAGTCCTACATGAAGACGTCGTCCATGCCGCGCGGGCACTGCCCCGGGCACGGCCCCGGCCCAGCCGGGTCGTCCTCGAAGGTCACCATCTTCTCCCTGGACCTGGACGACGCCATGCCCAGCTTGCGCGAGCCGCCCGGCCCGCTCGGCGTGCGCAGGATGGCGGTCAGCTGGTGCGGGTGGTGCATGCCGGGAGGGCCCGGCGGCGCGGGGCACTTGGGCGGCCCGGGCGGCTCCGGCACGGCCATGGCGGCCTCGTCCTCCTCGGCGACGACCCCGGCCAGGTTGAACTCGCTCACGCTCCTCGGCACGAAGTACTCCATGAGCGGCTCCGGGGACAGGCGGCCGCCGCCGGGGCCCGCGGACCGCCTTCCGGGCCCGTTGCGCCCGAACTCGTCGCCGCCGCTGGCCTTGCGCCGCGGCAGGCTGTGCGCCATCCGCGGGGGCGGCGGGCAGGCGCCGTTGGGGCCGCCGGGCGTCCCCGGGGGCGGCACCATGAGCGTGAGGGGCGGCTTGGCGGCGCACGGCGCTCCCGCCTTCACGTGCACGGGGATGGGGACAAGCTGCGCCGGAGGCGGTGGTCCTGGAGGTGACGGCCGCCACTCGCCGCCGCCGATGGACGCCCCCTCCGGAAGCGCGTGTCAGGACGACGACGACGACACCACCGCCATGGGGAGGCTCTCGCCCGCCGACAGGGAGCCCCCTGGGGGGTCCGTGTTGGACTCGGAGTCGCTGCAGCTGGGGCGGGTCTTGGGACGCGCGGGCTGCACGTTGCCGCTGGAGCACTGCCGCCCCAGCCGACGCATCAGCCCCACGAACTCGTCCTGCACCAGCGCGAACGTCATGGCCACCAAGGCCATGCCCACCAGGATGTACGCCGACGCGGCCAGCACGGAGAGAACCTCCCCGCGGAAGCCGCGACGCAGCGCGGCAGCACTGCGGCCGGGGATCAGGTCGCCGAAGCCGATGGTGCCCAGCGTGGTGAAGCAGAAGTACGAGCCCTCGACCAGGGACCAGCCCTCCAGGTAATGGAACAGGAAGGCGCCGCCGGCGACGTACAGCAGCAGCACCAGCAGGCACAGCAGCACGGGCACCCTGACGGAGGCCAGCGGAGGCGGCGGCGGTGGGGGCGTGTCCGCAACGGTGCCCGAGCCGCCAGACAGGCCGACGCCGTCGCCCGCGCCACAGTCCACCACGATCATGGCGCGGTCCGCCTTGAGGGTGAGCTCGTCCGTGGCGCCCAGGGCCAGCCCCAGGTGTCCGGCCTGGTGCGCCTTCATGGAGCTGGTGGCGGCCGGCGCCTTGCCGCTCGAGATGACCGCCGCCGCCTGCTTGGCCTTGGCCTTGGACTTGGACGACTGCTTTGCCTTGCCCTTGGCTTTGCCCTTGCCCGGGCCCTGCTTCAGCTTGCGCATCTTCTCCGGGCAGGCGCCGCGCCTGGAAAAGACATAAAAGGTGACGTCACTCGCCCAGTTCCCCCTGCCGCCCTGCCGACGACAAAGCGACGCCGCGCGACCCTTACCTGTGGCACATGCGGCTGTAGGCCTGCCGGAAGCTCCTTGCCAGCGACTCCCCCGTGGTGGACAGGTACAGCAGCATCAGCGGGATGCCCACGATGGCGTACGAGATGGACACCAGCCGGCCGCACGTGGTCCGCGGCGACACCGACCCGTAGCCTGCGGCAGACAAAGACAGAACACACGGTCAGCGCGTCAGCTCGGCCGAGACAGTCAGACAGCGACGCCGCCGGGCGGGTAGGCTCGCCGTCGCACCGCCCGCTGGATAAGTTGCCTACCCAGCCGGGCGGCAGCGAGGCCCTCGGCGAGGCCCGCGTGCCAACATGGCGACGGGGAGGGCGGAGGCACGCCTTGCAGTGCCTTGGTGACCCGGAAAGGGGGCGGGCGATAATAGAGACAAATTGGCGGGGCGGCTGGCTGGTGGCGCTCGCACACTCCATACGGCCAAAGTGCGGGACAGTTGACACGGTCGCGGTGACAAACTCGCGGCGCGGCACGGCGGCATGGTAATCTCGTTGCGCGCCTTTCGCTTTTCCACCAGCCCCGCCCATTCGCGACACATGCCGCGGCCCTCTTTGAGCGCGGGCCCCAGGCCGACGAGCCTCGCCGTCGTGCCCCGGGCCGTGCCCCGGGCCTCGCCCTCGCCCGCCTCAATCCACGACAGGCCCGCCGGCCGCCAGCCCGGGCACCGGGGGCGACGCGACAGCCATGGCGACAGCGGGGTGCGATCTGTCTAGACGGGAACCCCGGCGCCCCGCCCCGCCCCGCGACTAGGAAAGTACGTAACACCATTTTCTCGGCGCTTTGTGCTTTCTGAGCGGTGGGCGAGTCGGCGGGGCGAGGCGCGGCGGGGACGAGTTGGAGCGGCTGAGGCCGAGGCCCGATATCGTTCCGGGGGTCCTTATAAATCAGGGAGAGCGGCGAGCCGAGCGTCGCCATGGAAACAGCTGCAGAGGGTGCCGCTGGTGCTGCTGGCCGGGCTGGTCGTGGCTCTGGTCGTGGCGCCCGCTGGTCCTCCGGTCCTCTGGTCCTCGAGGAGGCCGTCCACGCCCCACCGCGCCCCACCCCGCCCCGCCCCGCCCCACCTTGGCGACGCCAGCAAGAAGTCCAGCCGACCGGCCCGCTCCCCTCCAAGGTCCTCGCGAGGCTCGCGGCTTTATTTTGGCGCTGAGTTACGGCGTGGCCGAACAGGCGCCGATTGGCGCTGCCCCGTGTATTAGCCCGCCAATTTTATTTCCATTCTGTTAGCCTCTCTCGGAAAGAAACCCCCTTTCAGAAAAAAATGGGAGTGGACCGGGTGGCGAGGCAGTACGTAGTGGTGGGAGTGTTTCTCATTAGACGTCCGTCTTGCGAGGTCACAGCGAGGCGGGACAGCGCACTGTGGTGCTACCAACAACTACCAAGTGCTACCAGGGCCATCGCCGCGCCGTCCTGACGGCCCTGACGTCGCTCTACAATGGAGGCAGCACTGCTCCCGCTGCACTCTTAAGCCCCTCACTAACGATTTGTTTGCAGGCCCCGCGAGGGCCAAGAGCAGCGAGAGCCGACCCGCCTGGTTCCTGCCAGGCTTCTGGCTCCACCTCGAGGTGACAGGCAGCGAAGCTGTGCAAGCCACGAGCACGGCGACCCGAACTTACGAAAATCCCCACGGTGCGCAGTGCATCAGCCCTCTGCATTGAGAAGAAATAGAACTTTCGGGAGTCTTGTCGTTTTCAAAGAGTTTTTGGTTTTTTGGACGAGTCACGCCTCTGCTCTGCATGCTGCTCCCGCTCGAAGACTTCACGGCATCGTCTGAAGGCTCAACCCTCTCTGCGCCCCACACGACGCCGCGCGCCGTGCCGTGTCTCGCAACGGCCCGGCCGTGACGCGGCGCCGCGGCCGCTAAAATAGCGTTTAAAAAACGGCGCCAAGCCCGCCGGCGAGACGAGACGAGACGGGGAGGCCCCCCTGCCCCCTTCCAGCGCGCTTCTCCATGCAAAAAAGATTCGTTTGCAACACAATCGAGTGAGGCCAGGCGATGGGCTCATTCCGCAGGCATTCGCATGCATCAAGGCGGGCCTGGGCCTGGCGGGCCGCGGCGTCGGCGGCGTGGTGCACGCCGGCAGCACCACCGTGCCGCCGCGCCGACGAACAACAAGGAGTGCGTCGCTCAGCTGCTCCCGCTCTCACGTGCGCCGCGCCGCCGCGTCGTCGCGTCTTTGCCAGCCAAAAAAGGCCATCAGCGAAAAAACGTGTCCGGTTTATCCGGCTCCGTGGCGCTCGGCTCGGCGCGGCCCACCTCTCGCTAGCAGCGAGAGCCCCACCCGCCCCGCCGGACCGACAGACGGCCGGCAACCAGATAAATTTTATTTTCGTCGAGATTTTCTCGCGTGAAAGAGTTAAACTCGCGCGGGCCGTGAGCACGCCTCGGCACGCCTCTGGACCTGGCCGGGCCGGCACACTATTTCCTCCCTTATTTTCCACCCTATTTCACCCTTTTATGCACAGGAAGGGAGGAAAGGAAGGGCCAGAAAGGGCCGGCGATTCCGGCGCGAAAAATGTAACATGCATTCCAGGCTAAATTAGAGAAACGAGAAACTCGCCTTCCGGACCGCGCCGGCACTGCCAGCAGCGCAAGCCGTTCCGAACAGCGCGTCTGTCTCTCTCGCGCGCCTGGCGGCCCGGTGGGTCGCTCCGTGAGTGCGAGTGAGGGGCGGGCCCACGGAAGCTCTGTTTGGGATCAGCCTGCAGGGAGCCTCTGGCCCGATATTCCCTTTGTTGGCGGTGCAGGCCGAGGCCAGGCCAGCCGAGGGGCAGCCGAGGGGCAGGCGTGTGGACGTCCTGGCGAGTGCACGCAGAGGGGTGGCGGGGGCCGCGGGGGCCGCGAGGGCGGCCTGCCTGCATCCCCTCGCATCTATCAAAGTCCGGCTCCTGGCACCCCACACCCCGCCGCGCGCACACACACTCACACACACACACCCGGACTCGGGCGCGCGCACACACACGTACACTGGAGAGCTGGATATAGGGAAACGAATTTTTCTTGCGCCGTATTCCTTTTTCATCGCGTAAAATAATACGCCGGAGCAGCAGCGCCCTGGCGGAACGAGACTCTCTCTTTTCTCTCTTCGCTCTCTGTCCTCTCTTTCCCTCTGCCTATGACTCCTCCCGCCCTTCGTCCTCACAACAATTGCATTGCCGCCGTAACGTGTTATCGGGCTGCCTCCGTGACATGACGTGTATCGGGCCCGTAATGGACCGGACCCAGCCCCAGCCCCGGCCGGGCTGCTCCTCAGCCGACTTGCGAGTTTACAGCGCGGCGGCATGGCGGCGCGCCCTGCCTCCCCTGCCGCGAGGCTAGGAGGACGGGGACGAGGTCGAGCCTCGGCGCCGAGCCCTGCCGAGCCCTGCCTGGCTGCTCGTCGCTGATTTATGGTCGCTTCTCCAAAGCCTCTGCCTTCTGCATGTGAGGATCGAGTTCATGATCCCTTCGACTTAGCTGCGGCCCGACCGCGCACACCGCCAGGCCGCCAGCCGCGCCGCCAGCCAATCTCAGGCCGAACTGCAATAAATGTGGCTGCGCTCTGCGAGGTCTGCGCGCTCCTCGGGGCTGCCGGGGGGCTTGTTGTCGTCCTCCGTGCCCTATCCGGCGTCCCCCGGGGCGCCGGGGCCGCGGAGTCCGGATTTATACACCTGGCCATACCGGAATGAAGCCCCGCCGCCCCGCCCCCGAGCGCGGCGCTACGTTTTACTGCCTTTTCTGGCCTCCTTATTCGCAGCGTGCTTTGACAGCCAATAAAAGGGCTGGCTGCGGGGCGGGGGGCTGGAGGGGACCAGCGACTCCTGGCGGTGGACGCGCCTCCACTACGTCTTATACGCACGACAGGCTTATGCGAAGCGCAGCGCAGTGAGCGTCGTGCGAATAACGTTCGATTGCCGGTCGCTGTTTTTTTATTTCGACCGCGGGCACGGCGGCAGTACGGGCCATAACACTCACACACACACACGCACGCTCACACCCAAACCGATACCTCTCCGGCGAGGCGGAGCGGGCGAGAGGAGTGTGCTCTGCAAGTCAGTGGCGATGGCGGTGCAGTTGCGATGCAGCCAAACAAATGCGAAATCTTGCACTCGGCTGCGCCGCGCCGCGGAGAGGAACGAGGCTCTCCTCCTCCTCCAGGCGCTATGCGCTGCATGCCGCAGCCAGTCCAGGCCGTGGCCATCTGTTTTAACGGCACTACCCCGGCCATCTCATGCATTGCCGAAGGCCAGAGTGGCGGAAAGTGTCATGGCACTGTGTGTGCGTGTGTGTGCCTGTCCTTCTGCTCCCACGTCTTCCTTGGCTACACTATAATAAGGGTGTCGCCCGGCCGCACGTGGTTTATTAATGGCTGCTAACGCATGGCTCCGCTGCTCTCATGGCGAGGCTGGCGGGGCTGGCGGTCGGAGCGCCGTCGCGGTGGAGGCTGCGGTGGCACTAAATGGAACAGGGGTGGGGGCGGCGGGGCGGCGGGGCGGCGGGCCAGTGGGAGCGCAAAACAACCCCCGTGTGGGGTCCCCGGAGAGTGGAACAGACCGCCGGGCCACGCCGGGCCACGCCGGGCCACGGGGGTGTTTTCGGGCAGCGTCTCTCCTGGTGGTCTGCTGCGGCCCGCTGCGGCCGTCCCCGAGGTCAGGCGGTCGTCGCGCGGTCCCCAGACGCGATGCCAGGGACCAGCGCAGCACGGACCGCCCCGCTTGGAACGCCAATCGGTAAATGCATTGGCTTCATCGCCAGCACTCAGTTCACCTCAATCTCGGCGCGTCCTTGCCGGCCAGGGCATGGCCAGGGCATGGCCAGGGTGTAATCTGGCTCTCCGTCGTAAAGGTGTGGCCGTGGCGGACGCCCTGAGGGCCCAAACTTTGGGGCCAATGTTTCGCTGCGCGGGGTGTCACTCAACATCAAACCTGCACGTCAACGGCCCGAGTGGATTACCCCCACCCCACCCTCTCCCGCCGCGACCACAAGCAGAAAGCCCCCCCCCCCCGGCCTTTCCACGAGGCCACCAATCACTACCATTACCGGCGCATCACGCCGCGGGCCGCGCCTAGCAGTGCCGTGGCGAACACAGCGACTGGCACACCGCTTCCACCATTCCATCTCGATCAGTTCGCCCCTGACTTACCCCTTGGAATACTTA